TTCTTTTCTTTTCTTTTCTTTTCTTTTCTTTTCTTTTCCCAGGACGTACAGTTCAAGGGTTGATGCCGTGACAGGTTTAAAATCATACGATGGGTTTTGTTCCTTCTTCATGGGTTTGAACCCATAACCTCATGGTTAGCAGTCCGACACCCACCAGCACTAGCTGGCCTCTTGAGAGATGGCTTGGTGGTGAATTAGGGTACATGTTGTGTTGCTCCCCAAAAGATCAGCAGATAAAACCCACCAGCCACTCCACTGGAGAACGATGGGGCTTTCTGTTCTGTATAAAACTTACAGCCTCAAATACCCATTTATAAACTATCAAGGGCTCATGCGGGAGGGGAAAAATGAGGACCTAATGTCGGGGGTTTAAATGGAGAGAAATGTTTTGAGAAACGATGTACAAATGCGCTTTACACAATTGATGTGTGTATGGATTGGGATAACAGTTGTATGAGCCCCTAATAAAATGCTAAAAAACAAAACACAAAAAAACCTTACAGCCTCAGAAACCCCCGGGAGCAGGTCTACTCTGCCCTGTGGGGTCAATAGTCAGAATCAACCCAATGAATTAAAGTCAACTTTCATTTCTACGAAGCGACTCAACAGAAAGAGGCAGGAAGGGACTCATTGTCAGAGTGGAAAGTGTCTCGTTGTTAGGGCTTGTCGCAGTCCAAGACAAGGTCATCAAGTGACACAAGAAAACAGGTGTGTGTGTGTGTGTGTGTGTGTGTGTGTGTGTGTGTGTCCATGTGTCCATGTCCGCCGTGAGCAAACCACAGGCCAGTGGCTACAGAGTCCATCCCACCTGCTTGGCCCTGCCCTGTGGAGGCTCCAGGGCTGTATCTGTATGGAGGCTGACGGCGCAGCTTTGCTTTGCAGGGCAGTAGCTGGTGGGTTTGTGCCCACCCACCATTCAGTTACTAGTCAGGCGCTTAACCACTGTGCCTTCAGACCTTCTCGAACACTGGGCTGCTGAAAACGTTTCCACTCGCCACCCATTTTTGCACGAGAAATTTGTGACACCAGCCAGCGCTGCCGGAAACACCTGGGGCTCAGCTTGAGTTCGATTTTGGATTAATTTCTGGTCCTCAGAGTCCAGAGACCCTTTACTGAAGCCACATTTTTCTAGACTCTTCACATGCACTTACACAACCCCTTCTAGGGGGTTAAGGGACCCACCGTTGGAGCAGCTTTGCTGTGGGCTTTGGAGGCAGCGAGAGCCCAAAGCCAGCTGGACGGAGCGGAGGGCCCGAAGGATGGCAACGGGATTTAAAACCACCGGGTGGTTTGGTGCGTTTTCTTTTCTAAAAGCTGAGAAGATTAAAAATGTAGGACACACATGCAAATGTTTGTTGTGTGCGGCGCGTCATACTAAAATCACACTTCAAATATTCTGACCCTGACAGCATACTTAGTCACTGTTTTTAAAGAAGAGTTCTATTTTAAAGCAGACTCAAAGGACTCCTAACTGAGTGGGGAGAGTGGTTCCCTTTCTGATTTTAGTTAACTATCAGAAGTTCACGTAAGGCCCTGCTTCTCTTAAGAGCCTCTTAGATCGGCGTGTGGAGGATAGTGGCAGACTGTCTTGAAAACAATGAGAAAGGACTTCCACGTCCTTACTGCTTTCCTCGTGTTGATTTGGTTTCTAAAAGCTCTTTTCTGCGCCATAAAGCAGTTACTGGGACAAGGAGGGAAGGCAAGGTTGAAGGGGCAATATGAAAAAACCGTAGATCAAGCCTTTAAATGGTTTGAGATGATTTGAAATTTGGCGGAGAAGAGACGTCTTGGTGTTGGGTTGGGTCTGGTCTTGAACTTGGCAGGTCTGATCTGGAAACAAGTGTGGAACCTTCTCATTGTCCAGCCACCAATGAGTTAGGAGATTCTCCTTCATCGTTGGAGGATCGAACCGTGCACGTCTGCTTTTTAAGTTATTTACTTTTGTCATAGAGATGGTGAGAAGGAAGGGTGTCTCGCACATTCAGCTCCTTTGAAAAGAATAATTATTGATTCAGCTGAAGTGGCTCCTCATCCATTTATTATCTACCCAGGATTTCCTTCTTGACATTTCCCTATTGAAATTTTGATTAGATAATATAGCTACTGAATAACAAGGAAGAGATTAGAAAGCCCTCCTCCCTCTTAGCAAATGCAGTTTGCATGTCTCTGGAGCCTCTTGGCTGGGGCGTGATTAACAAGATGCTTTGGTTTTCCACTTCCTGGATGCCAACTCCTTGGCAGCCGGCTTGGTCTCGGGCTTTTCATGCTTTTTGATGAGGAGCCCCCACCGTCTTGCTTTCTGAAAGATGACCTATGTGTTGTCTCTTCTGGTGCACGGGTCTTCCCGTTGTTGATCTTACACGACCCAAGTTCCAGCGGCATTCAGTACGGATACATCTTGTAATTCCGGGAATTAAGTAGAACGAAGGTCAGGCATTTTGGTGTGTTCCTCTGGACGTTGTCCTTTCCTGACAGCTTTATTCTCATCCTCTGGGAACATAAATCCAAACCCAGTATTCTAGAGACTTCCCAGATGGTCCCCGTCTGTGCGATCCGACATCTTTATGAAGCAGGGCTATGGGAGTGTGGTGTTTCCTTTTCCGACAAAATTAAGATAAAATACAAATGCCAGGAAGACCATAAACGCATTAGCGGCCACGCCCGGAATGGAGACCCCTTTGCACGCCCCGTTTCCCACCCTTACCAAGAGAGGTCCTGGAAGTTGGCTGCTCTTGTGAAGAGAACCTTGAGTTCTTGGTGCCCTGAGCATGGTGCTGAGAACCGTGAACTTCAGTGGCCCTCCTGACTGACCCCCGACCCTGCCAGAAGGCATGGTTGCCATGCTGGAACTTGAGTGACTGGTGATGAGCCCATCCCCGGCACTCCCTCAAGCACAGCTGAGATTGACCTGCCAGTTAGAGGAAGGCCATGCCTGTGGGGATTAATGTCGTTGCTGCCTTCCTTTCTTTCCGGGGCTGGTCAGTAGCTTACCAATGCTGATGGTGCTAACATCTTCCCGCAGCCAAAAGCAGCAGTGCTGTCTCACATGAGAACTCACTTTCGCTTCAGCTCTATGTTTAATGAGGGCGGGACCAGATTTTGTTCCAGCCCCAAGGCTGACAGCTCTTTATTTAATTTCCTTGTGATGAGACATCGCTCGGCTCCAGGCTACTAAGCGTGGAAATACCTAAAGGATTTGTTTTCGTGTTAAACCATTCATTTTACTGGGGATACTGTGAATTAAAATGAGTATGTGTGTCTCATCCCCTGGAACAACAGAGGGAGGAGAGTTGGGGAGGACGTGGGGAGCGTGGTGGCAAGTGACCCCACGGTTGACTTCCTCCTTTGCCATGAGAGCAGAGGCTGGATGGTACCCTGCGACCATCACCAACCATTGCCAGTCAGACTCTGTGAAGGAGTCTGGAGAAAAATGGACACACGCAGAATGGAAGTTCACATTTTTCATAGATTCTAGACTTTCTAGAGCCTCGGGGGGTGGATGAACCCCTGAAACTGTTCCCCTGAGAAAATCTCGAAATCACAAAGCCAGAATATCTTCTGAAGTCATCTTAAAATAGGACAGTAGTTTAGCTCAATTAGTTTATTTTTAAAAAAGGTTATCTTGAGCGTGAACCTCTCTTAAGAGCTATCCATGGCATCACATGGAAAACGGCCACTTGGAGGAGGAGAATGGGGGCAGTGAGTGTGCGGAGGAGGGGGGGCTGGAAGAGGAGGGTGAGGAGGATGGCCCAGCTCCCAGGATGCCATCCGTGCCACTGGTGTGCACGCAGACGGGGTTGAATTGACGTGTTTTTCTCAATAACAAGACAAAGGAAACTAACGTATCAGCCTAAGTGGAAAACTTTTGAATGGGAACAAAACCTATCAGCACTCCAATGTTGACCCCTCTCCCTTCCTCTCTTCTCCCCTCCCCTCCCCTC